GGAGTCTACCGATTGCGCGTGGCTGCACAACCCCCGGAAGGCTACACCCGCGCGCAGATACCGTGATATAGCACTAGTGTGAAAGGTAAACTACGCGGGGTGCAGCAAGCACGTTCTGGACGTTACTTGGGGCACTGGGTAGTCGGCCGTGTTAGACCGAGAGGGAGAGGTTGAGATAGAGTTGGAGAGAGAGTGGGAGAAGGAAACTTGATTGGAGAGAGACGGTGGTGGTGGTGGAGAGAGACGGNCGAGAGAGGAAAGAAGAAGTGCGCAGCACGCACGCAAGCTCCATCGCACCAACCACGCCAAAAGGATCCCCGTGACTGCACCGGTGGTACCCTACTACACACGAAATTCCCAACACGTATCCCCTGGGAACCTTACGACCAGATACTGCTGCGAGTATATCTTACAGTTTTGTTTTCCCCATAATATGTAGCATTTTCCATATTTTTCGGTTCAAAGTGCACCGGGTGCAACGACCTGAGCTGACACAACATTGTCACGTACAAGACTGCGCGTGTCATGTGCTGGCTTGCCGGTCCCGATGTTGTTGTACTCACCGGGGCTACAATCGCTGTTTGAACGCACCATTTACACCTTTTTGCACTCCTCAACTGCTGCCTATTTAAACCTCTATGCCTTCTGCTGTGCGGGCGCAACTCCCTGTGAGGCCTTACAGATGCTCGTCACAAGTGTAATCGGTTGACCAAATTTCCACATGCACGTGCTTCGTGATAATCACATGTTGACAGTACCGGACCCAGGCAACACTACAGCAGTAGTTATCGCTTTGTTTTTGTAATTCATCCTTGTGTATTCTCTGCATATACTGCTGCCGTGATGGGTTGCTGCGGGCCGATCACACTCCCTGCACGAACACAAAGCCCCAGTAGGCGCTCTCACAAGTGTAATCAGTCGACCAAATTTCCACATGCACGTGAGTCGCTATCATCGGACAGGACGAGGGTGTCTATAAGGCGTATGCGCGCGAGGGCAAGGAGTGGGTGGTCCAAGGGGTACGCGGGTTACGGAAAAAAACCGAGGGCCCGGAAGTGATAGTGTCTGCCGTTCAAGATGAGAGGCACGGCTTTGGCTTGCCGTTGACGGACGACGTGCTCCAGGCGGTGAACGCGCGGCGCAAGGAGTAGGGCAAGGAAGTCCTGAAACGAAGCCCTGGCCTGCGGTTTCTCCAGCACGGGAAGAACAAGGATGGATGCTGGGGATACGACGAGTTCAAGCAACAGATCGAGGACGCCTTCGACGTCTTCGACGTCTTCGAACCCGACATGCAAGTGGTGGTTGAGATCGACCACTCTTCGGGGCACACAAGGCAGCGGGAGGATGGATTGCATGTGGGGAACATGAATGTCAAGTACGGGGGGAAGCAAAAGGTGTTGCGGGATACAGTCATGACAGTGGGGTGTTTGGGACCGGAAGAGGCGAAGATGTACCTCTCCAACGAACAGCAAGTGGAGCACGGAGTTCACCGAGGGGGCAGAGGTCTACGACATGAAGCTTAAGGTTGGCGACACACAGACCAGCACGTTCGCGGCAAGTTCTCCACCTCCCTTTTACGAGTGGGATGCGCCGCGCAAAGATGTGAAGGTCGCGCGCAAGGCTAAGCGCAAGAGCAAAGCGGGAGCGGGGGTTGGCGCAGGCGATGAAGGGGCGGCTGATGGGGCTGGAATAAAGCCTAGGGATAAGATCAAGGAAGGGTACGAAGGGAAGGCAAAGGGCTCGAAGCAGTACCTGTGGGAACGGGGATGGTGGAAAGAGGGGATGAATGCTCAGTGGGAATGGCTGACGAGAAGAACATCGAGAAAGTCTTGCAGGCACTGACGGATTTTGAGAGTGAGAGGACGGCGCTGCAGTACTTGGTCGCAGGGGACACATACTTTTGTTGTCTCCGAAGTGTCACCCAGAGGTAGCGGGGGTGGGGATCGAGTACTCGTGATGGTTTTCCAAGCAGAGGTTTCGGCGGAAGTACAACGACAAGTCTCGAAGCACTTGCACGCCAACATCGAAAAATCGGTATGCAGGGGAAAGCATTTGACGATCGGTCGGATGCGACGCTTCGCCCGGCGTACACGAGACTACTGCCGAGCTTACCGCGAAATACAGCTGGTCGAGAAAATGCGCGGCACCCAATAGGCTCACCGCAACATACTGGACATGTAGCCCGGTTTCCTTGGCAAGCAGTGACCGGCCGGCCGGAAGGGGGGGGGGTACATTGTACGGTAGAGAGTTACATATACATGTTGTTGAAGATTCAACAGTTGTATATTTTACGCAGCGTGGGTGTTGTTGTTGGCTTTGTACTACAGGTTTAGCATAGGCGTGGTTGTGTGCAAAATATCGTGCGGTGCTGCCGTAAAAGCCTGCTTTTTTTCCGGTCGAGTTGAGACATATTTGTTTGAGTTAGTGCACGCGCATTTTGGCGTCGTGAGCTTTTAATACATGTTTCACATCATCACGCCCAGTAGGTACAACTCATGTACGTCATGGGCTGGTAGGCAGCGCCAGTATGCCTCCTCCCAACTACACCGCTTTCGCACACGTCTCTACGGTCCCCAGACCCCTCATTTTCCTTCGTAAATGGTGTGCCCCTGCACCCAGGTTCTGAGGCCGGAACGAAATTCTGGATTTCCCGCGCGGTTATTCCGAATTAGAACCTGAAATTTTGAGACGGCATGTGCATGAGTACAACAAACAAAAGCCACTGCGCCGTTTGGTTTTTTGTCACTTTGTCCCTAAACAAGTATTCCCATATTTACAACAATAAGGGTAGCTCATGAAAAAAAAAAAAAAATCCAAATGGCGCAGTGGCGTGTTTGTTTGTTGTACTTATGCAGAGGCCGTCTCAAAAGTTAAGGTTCTGATTCGAAAAAACCGCCCGGAAAATCCGGTCCAACCGTGGAATACGCGTCTTGGCTGGACCGGCTTGTTCGTTGATACATCAAGCAAGGGAAAAAACCGCAGCAGCAGCAGCAGAGCAGCCTCGGGCACACAGGCGTTCGTACAGCCACAGCAGGGGTGACACAAATCGAATGCAGCCTCGCTAAATTCAACGCTCGCTTGCGGTTCACCTACTCGAGGTAGCAGTATGAACTACACAGCAGACAGATGAGTCGCTACAAGTACATAGATAGGTTGCAAGACAGAGACAACAGCAGTGTACAGCTCAGCAGCAGGAGCAGCAACGACAGCAGTACAACAGCAACAAACACCAACAACAATCAGGATGCCGCGGAGGTTCCCACCTCACAGCGAAGTTCCATACTCATCACACGACCAAATGACCCAAACACACAAGTGTTCAGTTTGCTTTAGGTCCTACGTGTGTTGTTGTTGTTGTTGTTGTTGTTGTCTCAGGGTACACGTAGAAAAAAATTCCGGACACATAGGCCCACCCCCCCCCCCCCCCCCCCCCCCCCCCCCNACCCTCGAAAAGTTACCATGAGTTGCCATGAGGCAAGGTTAGATGGATGATAAACATGCCTCGCTGTCGTTACCCCTTCCGCATCTGCTCGTCATCGATGCTCGCCCATGCTCACCCAGCCGTGCTAGAGGAACACACACACGTACGATAGTCTCGTATCTACGAGTATACAGTATCGACCAAAGCTCGAAATGAGCGGAACAGCTCAGCCAAGAACCATACATCGAACCACCTGCCTTGCAAACTTGCCATTGCCGCATCTAGCACTGCACAACAGAGAACATAGTCATGCAAATCTACGAGTAGCCATGGTCTTGTAGGGTTACGTTTTTCTTGATCACTCTACCCCGCTTACTCACGCGGACCCCTACTTCCGAGTTCTCGCGCGGTATTTCGCTACGTTTTCTGCGAGCCGGTCGCTTCTTGCTTTGGCCTTCCACCCCCCCTGCCCGCCTTTCTTCCTCTTCTACTTCTTCCTCTTCTTCGTCTTCGTCGTCGTCGTCGTCGTCGTCGTCGTCGTCGTCGTCGTCCAACGCCTCGGCATAAACCCCGGGGATGCATGGTATACGTCCCCGGCCCCCCCCCAAATG